GGCCTCGGCCCATCGATCCAGCCTGTCCAGGACACTCTGTAGAGTCTTCCTACCCTTGAGCAGGTCAACACTCACACACAGCTTGGTGTTGTCTGCACGCTTACTGAGGGAGCACGTGATCCCCTCATCCAGATCACTAATAAAGAAGTTAAACAGAACTTTTAAATAATCACTGGAATACAAATGGGAAAAAAAAATATAAAGAGGAAAAAAGTGGTTAAGCACTGAGAGAAACAAAAAAATTCTAACTGCACTTCAAGTCTCTCTCTAATCATAACATCAGTGAAGAAGATAAATAGGCGAACAGAAGGTGTACCCTACGCAGCAATGAAGGCCTTCCAGCTCCCCTTTGCAGTTACCTCTAGTTTAGATTCTGTACACTATTTCCTCTCTTTGAAGCTGAGGAAACAGTGCACATACAAAGCTAGAATTAAAAGGCTCCTTAACTCCACCTAAAATTCTCTGTTGATCAAAAGTTATACAGTGCTGTTACACGAAAAGCCCTGTCTTTGTTTTAACAAGGAACTAAACGTTTAATTTTATTCTTCTAGAAAAAGAAAGAAAAATCAATTGGCCAAATGAAGTACTCGATTAATACAGTGTGTTCAGAAACAATAAACCCATTTGCAATGCACTGTCTATCTTTAGCTGCAGCAGAGCAAGACATATCCCAAGTGTGATTAACACAAGTTAACATAGGAGGAAAGCATTCCAAATCTTCGTGCCTGTCTTTCTCTGGGAGTAAAGTTACATAGCAGGCGACTTGCAAAGACCATGTGTTCAAACACCACAGGCAAGTTTTTCTGCCAAAAGTGCTTTCGGCACCCAGCATGCAGCCATGTCTCTGGACGATGCGATGCAATGCTATTTCACTGTTTACTGTATGTGAAGGGCTGGTGCCTCATGCTATCGAGAAGTTACATGGTCAAGTTCAAATCAATAGTTTGTCCCAGTGGGTACTCGTATCACCCTGCACAAACCATTCCATCCTACTGAGGGTATTTCACCAACAAAACTCCCATGAATTAAAGTGAATTTTATCTTTGATGATACAGCAAAGGTGAGTGCAAAGAGTGAAAGACAGCTAGCAAATACACAATCCTGATTCAATGGCTTCCCATAGTTTCCCATAGGATAACTGTTAACATGTCTCAGTCTGGCTGTATTTTTCCATCCCTTGTTCTATTTGGAAATCAGAAGAAACAAAGACTGGAGCACAGATTCAAGCAGATGTGTGTACTTACCTTCAGAATTCTGAAAACTTGAGAGATGTTCCAAAACTACAAGGAAAGATAGGAACAGGTTTTGTAGTAAAAAAAAAAAAAAAAAAGGAAATTGCCATTATCATTATTATTAATCAAAAATATAAACGGGCATTTACCTTCAGCAGTCAGATTAAACTCAGCAGTCACTTTTCCATACATATTATTCAAGCAGCAATAATACATTCCCTGGTCTTTGTTACTGGCTTTAGCTATTGCCAAAGAGACGGGAGAGTCATCCTGAGCACTGGAACAGAATATGTTAATTTTCCACATTAATATTTTTAAAAGATCTTTCCTGATTATTCCATATGTCTCTCCTCCTGCCCCTGGAATTTCTGTCCCTCACTGCAAAGACCGATTCAGGTACAATGCAAGTAAACAAAATATTTTATGTCCCCCTTCCTAGAAGCATTCAACCTATTATGTGTTTCACAATAGATGATCCTACTGCATTCTGAGAGAAAAGTACCTCACTCAAATCCAAAAATAATTAAATCACACCAAAGGGCATTCTAATATTCCTTTCAATATCATGGACAAATATATGAAGTATGAACATATAAAAGCAAAAAACGTTGTATGCTGTTCTGCAATATTGACTCCTCACTCAGCTTTCTCTGTTCCTTTGCTTTTTTCAAGATAGATATTTGCTCTCTGATGTCTGTGTATGAAACTTGGATCCACACATGGATCAAAGGCAGATGTTATTAAAGCGGGTGCAACGACATGTGAATGCAGTTACAGTACTTGCAGACCCAAGCTGCCTCTGGAAGCAGTAAAACCAACTGAAACAGTGGTATGCCCAAGTGAAAAGTGCTCTCAGGCTATGATGGCTGTCACATGTCCCACAGTGGATGTCCATGGAAGTATTTATCAGCAAACTGGATCATCTATGCAGGGATTATGGACACCTGGCTATTGTGTTTTAAATCTTTTGTGAAGTGAATTAGTGAAGGTGTGCACAGTGTTCTGGGCAACATGAAGTTTCACCGTATTCTGGTACACTGGAGAACTAATTTTATCCAACAATAGTTTTTAAATTAAATTACTAGCAAATACTAATACTACTAGCAATTTGTATTTTTCAATACGTTTCCATGTATTGACAGGTAACAAAAATTCAAAGATCTGTTGCCTAGTTTCGTGCAATCACCCCCTATTGAAAGTAAAAGCTAAAATGTACCAAACAGTCCAGGTTATGTCTTTCTGTAGACTGATGTATATTGGCTTTCTGGGCTGTGAGCACACACTGCTGGCTCATACCGAGTTTCTCATCCACCAGCACCCCCAAGTCCGTCTCTGCAGGGCTGCTCTCCATCCATGCACCCCACAGCCTGTACTGATTCTGCAGAACAATCATGTCAAGCTCTACATTGCATGTTAGTTGTTTCAGCAATTCGCTTCCACCATACAGGGACAGGCAGCCTCCCACATACTAACCAAGCACGTTTATGTTGTTTGGCTGGGTGCTGGCGTTCAAACTTCATTTGATCTTTTACAGTACTTGAAAGCTGGATGAGACTGGTTATGAACAGGTGGCGAGGAATTACTGTTGATGGAATGCAAACTATGGCCAATATTAATGCATGGCGCAAAGATATGCTTCTGAATTACCCTGTTTAAACTTACTTTTTGCACCTACCATACCAATCCTCTTAACAGGTACAAGAGTGAATCACCAGCATATTTTCCCAAAAGCTATTCAGAAACAACCAGTCCTTCAGAAACATTCACTCACCTTCTCTGCAGTCGAGCTAGTAACTTGGAATCTTTAGTCCATGTAATGGTGGAGTCACCATGAATGTCACCAAATTGACAGCATAGCTTAATATTTCCAGAGCAGTCAGGGAACAACTCTGCTTGGATTTTCTTCAGCAACTTGGGAGCTTGAAACAGAAGAGCCACAGTTTAGGATTAGAAGGTAATGACATGGTTTTGGCATTTTAAAGGAATCCCAGAATGATTTGCAGATATTAAGAATATGAATCTGACAACACTGGTAAATAATTATGATTTCTTCTGATGCAGAAACCAAGACTTTAAAATACAGAGTCTTTAAAAGACTGATTCAGTGCCCCACACAGTCATTGGAAATGTTTTCAACGCAAAGACATTTTGAATTTATGGACTAGGACCCAAGGGAAGTTCTAGCCTGAAAAGGCATCGACATAAAGTAATTTCTTAATCAAAACACGTTCTCTCTGATAAAGGACCAGCTGGCTTTACTGGTAAAAAAAAGACACCGCAAAGGTAGAGCATGCCATACGGTTACATAATGAGAACTCATACTAACTGAATACTTGTAACTAGTAGATTGTTTTAACTGATCACAGCCTTTGAGAGAAAAAACTTTAAGTCCCAGGAGACGCTCAGTCACCACAGCGTTCTTGGAACGTACTTAACAGAGGCTGCCAGGACAAGACTCTGCAACATGCAGTGATGGCACCATTTCCTTTAAAACACAGCTGGAAGGAGGAACCCACACTTCGTGGTTAGATATTTGCATCTGGTAATGTCAGTGGCCTTTGCTTCCCTCTTCTGTTTCAAAGGATTAATTTCCTGCCTTTAAAGAAAGTCCCTACCTTTCCAGCCACAGGGCAGGGCTCATTTGCTAGGCACTGACCATCATGCAGAACAAATCCAAGAATCACCCAGGCTACAGAAAGAGAGCACTCTGCCCAGTCTGGGGAAGGTCCTGATAACCTGGTTCTCTGATGAGATTTGTTTACTGGCCCACAGAATGGTCCAGTGTCTTTGCAAGTGAGCATGGCGTGAGCAGGAGGATGGAAGGTACTTGGAAAGAAAGGGAATCGACATATACTTAGGGAAAGATTTTGGGATCATGACGCATCCCTGCGCTCAAGTGAGACATCCCAGCTAGATGTAAGGGATGCAAAATGCAAGATGTTATGCTTCCTACTGTGTCAATTCTGAGCTGCTGCACTCTGAATGAGCTGGCATCACACATCTCCCTCGGGGATGCCATTCCTGCAGTCTAACTTTCCCTGTCTAATGCCGAAGGAATGCTGGATCCAACTCGAAGGGTCAAGCACCTGGAATTCACTGCTATGTTTAACTTGCAGTCACTTAAATCCTTAGGCCTAAAAATCCCGCTGAATCAGGGCTAAAATGATGCAGACAGTATGTGACAGAACTGTAAATAGAACTAACGGCTCCAGATTCCCTGCCCTAACCACAAATTCATCCCTCCTGCAGCTGAAAATGATACAAAAGAGAACACTAAGTATGTACCAGACTAACCATACCAACCTTCTCATAATGCTGGGCAAAGGTCCACACAATTCTCTAAAGCACAAACCACATTCATTTCAGGCTAAGCTAAAGCAGATCAGAAGCAGGTTAAGAAAATTCAGTCTTAACTGATGCAAGCCTGAATGCTCAGAACATTTTCCAAGCATAGCCTCAGGTACATGGAAAAAGATCAGGCATTTCTCAGTGATTGCAGTTTGCTTGCTCTGCTTTGAAGGAATGTTTCTCTCCTCCCACACATTTGGTTCTCTGGCACAGGACATATCTTCAAACAGAGAAAAGTCTGGGTTTTTTGTAAATGTGAGTGGAAAAGTAGAACCCTCACCAGACCGCACTGTAATTAGAATCTCTGAAAAGCTTCATAGTTGTGTAGCTTACTTTTAGTCACTGTTTAGTCTTGCTCTGATCTATTAATTTATTTTACAATGTGACCATGAAATGTAATGTCAAAAGGTAAAAACAAGACCTTGGTGCTTGCAAAGTATCCATAGAAACCACAAATACCTCATCTGTATTGCTGTTACACTATTGCTACTCCCATCTGCAGTTTGGTTTACCTGTTAGCAACCTCCTAGAGACTCTGACACGCAACCTGAATCTCACTGCAATTACATGTTTTCTTTATCAGTTTAATATTGCCAATTTCATCAGTGTTATTTACGACCAAGAGTGGTGAAAAGGAATGCAGAACCAGCCATCATGACTGCAAAATGTTACGTTGATCAGCGGCACCCTGTTATTAACAATCATACTTTGCTGGTAAAACCCTTTGGTAACCAAGACAGGGTAATTGCCTGCGGGAGCCACAGCACAGAAGCGTAACTGGGAACACAGCCCTGCGGGAACATAACAACACGCAAGTACTGGGCTTGCAGTTGCTATAATGTGTGTAGTTATGGGGTACTATTACACTACACATCCCTGAAAAGTTACTCAAAGAGACAAATGAAGAACTATTTCACACAGGTTAAAGTTCATAAAACAAATATATTTGCCAGCTAGGAAAAGGATGTTAGGGAGGGTTCCAGCTCTGTGACATGGGCACAGTGACTAAGTTCACAGAACTGGAAATTAAGATCAGTGAGGGCAGGACACATTTAGCTGACATGACTCAGACCAAAAGAGGCTTGCAGTATGTTCAACAAATTTGAATTTCGTACCATAGCCAGAACAATGGGAAAGGTCAGAAATGAAAATCAGTTTTCTCTTACCTTTGCTATCCTTTTTCAAAATTAGTTTCCTTTGCTCTTTTCTATCCTCTTTATGAATCATGCCTGCCTCACTCTTCACAGACCTGTTAACAGAGCTAGGATCCCTGCTGACACTTCCTCTCTCCTCCAGTCGGGGTTTTTTTGACAGTGTTGCTGGTGGTAATGTCTTCTTAGCTCCAGCAGCTAAAAGCCCACTCTTTGCTGTGTCTTGTTTACATTCGATGGGCTCAGGCTCAGCAACAGTTGGTGATGTCCAGTAGGATTTTGACCCTTCTTGATTTCTTAGCCTTTCCTCATTGAATGGGAATGGATTGTATGTGGTCAGCGCTAAGGAGAATGGCTGAGTTCTGCTGCAGGGTAGCTGCTCTTGAAAATACTGGTTGTTCCCTGAATCAACTGGTGGCAAACTAACTAAACCACTTACTACACTCTCTGATGTCATGACTTCTTTATCGTACTCAGTAGACTTAAATGAATTATCAGCCTCAGCCAGCTTGCTGGAAGAGATCAAGTCGGGACAGGACTCCTTTGTGCTAACAGTCATAAACTGTCTCTGAGCCTTGCAGCTAATTAAGGTGTGCAAAGGAGACTTTGTTTCAGCTTCATCTGAGTTATATTCAATAGCTCTTTGAATCTCTTGTTTGTTTTCACACAAGACTGCTTCCTCCTTGTTTTCTTCAGGTACCTGATGGAACTGATCCTGCAATGTTATGCAGAAAGTTTCCAGTGTACTCAAGTTTTCATCTACTTTGACTGCAGTTTGGGTGGATTCACTTTCTACTTGACTTCCTGTGCCAGAACACCCCATTGCTGATACACTGGTGAGAAGGCCCTCTGACTGGCTTACGGGTGTCAAGAATGGTAAAGTCTCTTTTGCAGTCAGTTGTTGGAGATCTAACTGATTACTGGTACCTCTGTAACTCTCATTTGCTATGTTGTGGTACTCATTTCGAGCCTTTCTAGGCAGCGGGGCACTAACTGATGGTACACCCTCAGATGCAAATGTCTGATTTTTTGAAGAATCTGTTTTTAACTCTTCATCAGACTTGAAGGTGCTGTCAATAAAAAATACACGTTGTTCTGATGTATTATGAAGGGAAACTGCAGTCTGACTCTCTGAAACATGACTAACTCCTGAGTCACAGGAAGTTTCAGCTCTTTGTTCATCACTTATGCAAATCTCTCTCTGTTCTTCTGTTTTACATGGTTCATACCTGGGCACTTCTATATAAAAATCTCTTAAAAACGCATCCCCAGAAGAAGGAGTGAATGCCACTTCTTGTTTTTCTATTTCTGTCACTTGATCTATATTTTGGGGTAGATTCTTACATGTTATGGTTTGGGGAGTCTTAATCAAATTAGGCAATTGCATTACATAACCGTGTTTCTGTGTATTAGAAATAACATGAAAATCTTGACAGTCATTATTTTTTGAAAGATGGTAACTGTCAGAATTAGTGTCATTTCGGGCATTCAAGTCTGAGTAATTTCCTTTTTCTTGTAAATTCTCTTCATAACTTTTATGTATGGTGCTAAAAGAACAGTGTTTGTCCTGTGTCAACTGATTGGTGTTTTCACTGGAGAAAATGTCTTTCCCTTCAGGGAAATAAGCCAGTTCTCTTCTTGCTGGATAACAGTCTCTAAAATGATACCCTTTATCAGTTACAGATTCATTTATCAAGGATATGCTGTGCTCAGTATGAAGCAATTGTCCAAGTGTTCCATGCGACTTATCTGGTATGTAAGATGGGTTTTCTTTGTCACGTGCTAAATTACCACTCTGACCATTTTTTAATCTTCGAGGAGAATCTGCATCACATGTTTTGGAAGCATTTGTAATGGTAAGCTTTCCTTCCCAAGCAGCAGTCATTTGAATGGATCCATTACTGTCAGTTAACGTTTGATTTGGCTTCTGCTCCAAGAACTCCCCTGGATTTAAGATGATACTATTTCCTGAAACACAAATGGATGGTGTTTCCATTTTATTTCCAGTGCTTGGATCTAGACATATACCATCTGTTTCTACCACTTGTGCAAGACAAATATTTCCTATGGATGCACTGTTGCATGCTTCATCTGTTTTAAGTAGGATATTAGAAACATTGCAGCCTTCTTTCTCTGTTCTTTGTCTACTAGCTGGTTGTGTAACAGGTTCCTGCTCTTTTATCGCATTTAATGGCAAAAGATGATCAGAACAGGTCTCCTGTACAAAGTTCAGTTCTGTGACTTTGATATCTGTTGGCCTAATGTCTAAACTTGTGATCCCCTGGTTTTCAAATGGGATTTGATAGTCTGAGTCATCTTCATGAAGAAGTTTCCACAGCTTGTCATGCACTGCAGATATATCAGCATCTCCTTTGCACCCAGGTTCTCCAGATGCCAGGCCCGACTTGGGATTAGCTTCAAACAGAGACTCATCACATGATAGACTGCAGAGAGTATCTGTGTCATTGCTGTCATGTGAGGCAAAACTATACCTTTGCTCTCCCTCCCTTGGCTCATCACACAGCTTTGCAGAAGAGAGAACAGCGCATAAACGCTCTTGTTTATCAGGAAGAGAGTCCATATCCCGTAAAGGAAAAGGTGAAACGTCATTCTTTGATTTGTTGCCACTACTAATAATAGTAATTCCTTGTTCACAGAAGCTTTGTTGGTGACAACTTTCTCTCTTATCACAAGGAGCATGGTGTTGAGAATAGGTCTGCAAATTTGCCTTTTTCGCTTGTAATGTCTTTTCAGTACAGAGCATTTCTGAAGCTGGACGGATGGTTCCTGCACTCCCACAAGTCATGAAGACACCTTCCTTTTCTATTTCAGGCTCCATACATAGTCTTTCACAATTCTGGGTAAAAATTTTAAGATTAGCACCTTGATTCTACAAAGTAGAAAACAAGAGAAATGTAATTAAAAATCAGAATTGCTGCTTGACACAGGCCTGAACTAGAGTCTTGGCTTGAAATGTACTTGATTATTTATTTATTTATTTATTAGTATTTGTCAACAGCCAAGTTTCTGACTTGTAGCTATCAACCCAATGACTGAAATCAAACTGCTGGGTCTTAACAGCCTTGAACCCTGATAAGTTTCAGATCCGCAGCCAAATGCTGAGAAATGTAAAAGTTAATCAAGATGAAGATCAATGACTGATACAGTCCAGCTAGATAAATACAGACAAAATAAAACAAACCAAACTAAAATAGAACAGTCATACCTATGCCTTTTGCTAACAGTCAGTGTCCCACTGTACTTATGTAATTATGACATAATCCAAACCGATGAGTTTCTGGAACTACCCAGACACGTGTTGGGAGCTTGCCTTCCCCTTTGCTTCCATCATGGGGAAAGATGCTGCCACAGAGAGGTGCCCCATGTCTGCTGTGCTACATGCTTCAGAACAAGACTCCTATCAAGAAACCAGCATCTCTAGGTCAGTTTTAAGCCATCTTTGAAATTGGTCTTTGGTCACCTCTGACCCCTTGAGGGTCCCACTTCAAAACGGAGTGCCAGATCTTGCCTCTGCCCAAGCGGTAATGCACTGCTCAATATAAGGCATGGTCAGCCCTCGTCTAGCAATGAGACACACACTGCAGCCTTAGGGGCGCTGCTGGGAAACCGGTGCAGGAAATAAAAATCCATATTCCTCCTGCATCTCCTTTATTCTTCTATATCAAAATACTCCAAACCGTCACTTTTTGTAGAAACAAACCATTCCTCAATCAAACTAAGCCAAAGTGAACTTAATTTATGCAAGACGTGCAGACCTTATTAAGGAGAACAACTGGCTGATGTTTGGGCTTGCATGGGATGAAGAAAGTCCTGCCACCTGCCTGGCACACAAAATCTGTTACAGCTCTTCACTATTCCATCAGAATCGAGCTTTCACTCTTAAATTCTTGTTCCAGGGTCCCTGCCAAGCTTTTGTTCTCCAGGATTTTCTCTAGTCCTTTTTGGCACTAAATCAGTTCCTTGGAGGTGGTGTGCATGTTTCACTCACAGCAAATCACAGACAGAGAAGCTTACAGGTTTTTACTAGACCAAAATACATTGCTTCCTAAATGAATTATGCTTTATGCTTTTGGTTACCATGCATTTGCCAGAACAATCTGTAAAAGTAGAGAGCAATTTAGCAGTTAACATTTGAAAAAAAAACTCGTACTTTCCCATAGCCATTAACAGGCTATAACAACATGGACCTCATGACTTAGTTTGTACATTTGACCATGTATCTTTCCAGCATTTGTCTGAAGCTTTGCTCCTGCTCCCAGCAGAAATGAATGAATGCTAAAAAATACCAGGCTGAGTTTAAAAAACCACCAATATTTGTAGACATTTTTCATCTTTTAGCTTTTATACAGCCACAAACTCAGCCTCATAATTCGTTTGGGTTGGATTTTTTTGCTCGCTAGTCCCAGTTCCATCCATAGCTATTTGTTAACTTGTAATGATGTGCTGGATGGCTGAAATGACCAACTGCAATATGTAGCGGTGAGTCCTCTGGGCTACAGCAGAGCTGTCAACGGGCAATGAGTGCGGACAGACACATAACTCGGAGCAGTGACTTTGGAAAGCAGCAAGCATTGTTACTTAGTGAAGGATATGTAATGAAGGATGTCCCATGAGCTGCTGCGTGCTCAGGCAGGGGCTGAGGCAGGGGCTGCTCAGACACTAGGTTCTTAGTTTCCGTAAGTTCATGGTAAAAGGATTACCGGCTGTAGCAAATACTGCTTTCCTTTGCTGCAAAAGCCACCCACCTCAGCTGCAACTCCTTTCATCCTTTCTGTCTCTCCATTCAGCTTGAGTAGGATGTGAAGCTGACTACATGCTGTGGACAGTGGGGAAGGAAGAGATACAGAAAATGCCTGTCAATGACTTTAACTGCTGTTCCCACCCCAAGCACCATGCAGCTGACACCACACTGTCCTTAAAATTCCTTGGCCAGTGCATACTTACCTAGAAACCCTGAGCCTAGGAACCTGAGCTCCACAACTGCAGCCCCCTCTGATTCCCAGTGCCTTGGTCTCCTGCTCAAGGCTGCTCGGCAGCAGCAGATGCCAGTCTCTAGACCTTTGAGTTTAGACACACACCTTCTCTCAAGTCCAGGGGGATGTGAGCCTGGACGTGTCTCTACAGTGAGCTCCAGCTCTCTTCTCAGTCAGTTCTGAGCATCCGGTCTGAGTCTAGCGCTCCTTCTGCCACTTCCACTTCCCCCTCAAAGAAAGCCAAGTTTATTTTTCTAATCCCTACAGCCCCAGCAGCCTCAGTCACAGCTTTTACTAAAACCTGTGAATTCTTGCTAAGTATGTTAGATGTAGGATCAGTCCCTACCTGCTGCTGCTGTGAAACTAAAAATAGACAGCTCTCTCATGTCCACTGGGAAGTGGGCTGATTATTTCATCAGTGGGATGATTACCTATCTCATCTGTGTGTCTGTCCATGTTGGCATCTGTCTGTCTCAAGCATTCATAGACATGCAGCACTGTAGAGTCTAGACACACATTTTGATGGCTGGCAAATAAACAGAGTGACAAAAGTGTGCTTGTAATGGAGTGCCTTGCCTTGCATTTGACAAAGGGGGTCTGAAAGCATAATGCAATTTGAAGCCTCAGTGGCACGTTTAATTTTTTTAATTGATATTTAACAGGGCTATGTGCTCCTTGGGTATGTTGTAATGAGCTTCATGTTATTTTTGTTTGAAAGTACTTACATCCAAATCCTTTAAGCATATTTTAGGAAACCTTGCTGGATTTAACTCTGGTATTTTCTTAGGTTAGATTTATTTCAGCTAACACAGACGAGAACTATTCATCTTGATTTGTTCTTTTGTTACCTGTTCTCACAAAAGATTTCTAGGGTTTAATGCCATACATTTTAACAATTGCTTCAATTACTGGACAGTCTGCTCAACTCCGGGGTGACAAAACAATGGTAACAAACTAGAGGATTTAATTACGTGAATGCAGTAGAACAAGCAATTTTAATTTGTGTGTGTGTGTAACAAACTGCCCGGTGTGTGACAACAGAAAGGTGAAATCACAGTTCTGTATGATAGGATTATGAGAGTGTCTTTACAAAAATACAGTACCATTTACCCAGGCTGGTACAAGATACCATAGACCTAAACAGTGATAGATAAGGAGGAGAATGTTTTTGCAAGTACATGGCGCTGTTTACCCAGAGGAGCCATGTGTTTAGTAACAAGACTAACACAAGGAGGTCTTGATAGATATACGACACTATTCAGCAGGCCTCGTAAAACAGGAGGTGCCATATATCTCAGCAATTAGACAGGAACCAAGGACAAGACTACAAAGCCCTGTTAGGTAAGAAGACAAATCATTAAAAAAATATATTTTCTTCAAAAGTTTCAAGGGAAGTTTGAAGTTTTCAACTTTAGGAAACAGTGCGCAGGCTTAATAGACTTATTAATATTAACTTCTCCGCCCAGGAGATGCATAATGACATGATAATGAAACATATGATGCATGATGCAAAGGAGGGTACATGTTAAGGGGTAAAAACGCAGTATATGTAGTAGGTGGATCGGGAAGTCTGTGCCTTCCTAGTACCTTAGCCAATGGGGAATGGGAGAGGGTCCTATGCAGCTGGGAAGTTAGGATAAGCAGGGGGCTGCAACCCCAGCAACTTTGAGAGCACCCACGGGATATGCCCAGTAGACTCTCCCTTTACTCGAATAAAGTTTATTTTTACAGGACTCCTCCGTCTTCTTTGTGAACACTGCGCGCTGGTGCCAGGATTTTCCGCACATGTATTTAAACTCATACACAAAATATACAGTCCGTGTATGTTCATTATAAAGCCATGGTCACTGTGAACAAAGTGAAAAAAGCTAAACCCTGACAATCCCTAAGGCCTCACTGCCATATATAGAAGCTTTACGCGCATATTTTTGTTTAGTTTTGCTTGCGTCTTTGTTTTCCTGAGTTTTCCTTCCCCCACAAGGATGGTTTTAGCTATTTGCTGAGCAAAGTTGATAAACAGATAACATCTTGCCTGCCATCAAGGAGACAAAGCTCCAGATATCAAGGAGACATTAAGGAGACATCAAAGAGACAAAGCCATCTACACATGCCAGACTTAAGGAGACACCCAGCAAACATCGACAGGACTGCTTGGTACAAGAGGTTGTATCAGAAAAGGGGCCCTGGCTTGACCTGAAGAAGGAGGATTCAACTAGCGGACAGCGTGAGGAAGACTATGAGCGACCACCGCAGGGTGAAAAGACCCTAACCCTAAATTTACTGCACATGCTTGGACTATGCAGATGAATTCCGGGAGCTCACCACCATAAGACTGCCCTTCTCACGAAATCTGATGAATATGTGTGATTTTTGTGTGTATGAACTGATGTGTTTTGCTAATCCATTGGAGCACTCCTGGTGGAACGATCCCCAGTGCTGCAATACAGAACGCCTGCTTGATAACACCCTGTTGTTAGTGAGTTTTCATCTCTGAATCCTTACCTAGCCGCACCTAGCCTCTCACCTCGGTGAGGAGTGTTATCAAGCGAGGGCGTTTGGAAGCTCCAAATTTTGTATCAACAGGAGGGAGAAGCAGGTAAGCCAGGTACATAATAGCTATGTAAAAGGAAAATGGCAACAGCCACTTCAAAACCAGAGCTTTCTTTTTAATCTATTGTAAAATCAGTACATATGGAGGAGATGTCACAACAAATAACGTTCAGAGACTTACTAAAAGCATAAATGATTCAATTCCAGACAAAATATTTTGATAGAGTGAAGGTAAACAGAAACACAATTACAAGTGCTTTGATCTGGAATTAAGGCAAAATTTCAAAAATGCACTTCCACCCTGCAGAAACTCTGTGCTATTAGCTAGAGTCAATAGCGATACTGGCACTATCGTTACTTAGCACTATTTCTTGATAACAAAACTGACAAGCATATCGTAATTATCTCCTAAATAAATATATAAAGCTGGGATCTTCAGAATATGACAAAATGCTAAAAAAAGCCAAATATATTAGGTTGTGATACAGCAAAGAACAGAAAGGCAGCTAAATCACCTTACTGCTGTGTGATAAAATGCATTAGTAAAGTTGGAGTTAAAACGACCTTTTTCCACTTCATTTTTTTTAAAGGCACCTCAGAGCATCACAAGAATCTTCGCAGTACAAGCTGAGTTAGCTGCTGTTCTCTGCTCCCTTTGCCATACCTGAGAAATGGACCATCTTCACCCAAAGGGACAAGGTTTGTTTCTGAATGGAGTGACAAATTGTCACATTCACATGCAAATAAACTCAGCAGGCCTGAGTTAAGGCTATTCTGGTTCTCTTTCCCCTACAAAATGTAGGGATAACTTAGACATCACTCTCTCGCCTGATCAGCTGAACTATTCCTGTCAATGAAAGCAAGAAGTTCATTTCTGAAATGAGATGATTAATTTTATCTCACAGTTTCTCACTGTTTTTTAGGAGGAAATTGTTTAGAAAGGTAATTCTCCCCTGTAAGTCAAGTCTCACTGTTACATTTATATCCCTCTGTACAAATGGAGTGTAACAAACTGTCCCTAGAACACAGGCAATAAGTATATCTCTGCCTCTGGATCAGAGCTCCCTCAAATCCACCATGTTGGGAACCACTTTGAGTTTGCACTGCTCTCCAGCTGTAGTGGGTCTTCCTGTTTCCCTGTTTGATGCAATGCCACTCAAATTCCTCTTTCCTAAAACAACACTCTGCTTTAAATGGCACACCTGCCTTGGACTAGCTAAAATGACTCAATACGTGTAGTTAGTTCAACTACTTTAGACAGGTGAAACAAAAGACTTGAGCCTTATTTCATCCACAGATGCACATCCTACTAGCATCCTGCTATTCAGGCAGAAAAAGAAGTTCAGTAAGAACTTTAGTATTTCAAAGGATAGAACGTGAATTCTCTTCCTTTGACAACAACGTAGAGCAACAGGCTGACCACGTGTAGCTGTCATGGGCCCATGCTTTGAAGTGGAAAGGATCTTCCACCGGATGGGTTTTTTGTGTGTCTGCGAGGAAAGACTGGAGCCAGCTGTAACACAGGTGACAAAATGGGATGTTACCTGCTAGCCCTAGGGTGGATACTATGGAATGAGTAGGGTCGATGTCACAGACTGAACGAGCTCCCGTTACTCGGACCAGGACTCCTCTGTGTGCCCTGATGCAGAGCTCCCGCCCCTCCGCGCACTGCTCAGACTCGGACCGTTCCCTGGGAACGTTCAGCTCTCAGCCAGGTTCAGAGGTCAATACGCTGGGCAGCTTCTAGGACATCACACAACGGCAGCCAGCTACCACCTTAACACATTGAACTGGGCCGGTAGCCTAACAGATGAGCAGCTTCATTGGCCTATGCAGTCCTTGCCATTTTGGCTGGAATCTAACAAAGCAGAGCTATTACGTGCCAAACAAAATACTTTTTGCACACTATGAGATTACCGGATTACTTGGAAGAACTGTGTCAGTTCCACTCCTCTCCTTTTTGTACAATAAAATTTAAAATTATCTAGAAGTGATGTAAATTTCAGTCAGGAAGGTCATATCAAGTATCTCATATTTTATGAGAACAGACTGTTCTGACATGAGCAAAACCAAAATAATCATAGAATCATTGAGGTTGGAAAAGGCCTTTGAAATCATTGAGTCCAACCACCAACCCTACTCTACCAAGCACATCCCTAAACCATATCTCCAAGCACCACATTTAAATGACCTTTAAACACATTAAGGGATGGTGACTCAACCACCTCCCTGGGCAGCCTATTCCAATGTCTGACAACCCTTTCAGTGAAAAATTTTTTCCTAACGTCTAGCCTAAACCTACCCTGGTGCAGCTCGAGTCCGTTCCCTCTTGTTCTGTCATTAATTACCTGCACCTGCCTCTCTACAGTGTCCTCTCAGGTAGGTGTAGAGCGCAAT